GGGTTGAGGGGATAATTCAAAAATGAGTTATTAACAGTGCGTTTGTTTAAATGAAAATTTAACTTTTTTTTTTTTTCGTTCCTTGGAAGCTCGTTTTAAGCTTCCTTCGCGTCAGAAATTCACTTTTCGAACAATAAGAGTTACGCGAATCGGCGGCAGGGCATCAGGATTTTTACAGACGCTTAGATGCGTGGGCCACGGCCAAAAAAAGAAGGTTGAGAACCACTGATCTATACAACTGTACAATGGTCGAAGGTACGTACGTTTCTTCTACGTCCTCTCTAGAGTCCGCCAAGTGTAACACGTATAAAAAGTTTACAAAAGGGTAGCCGATCAAGTATGTTACGTTTGTAACTTGTGGAAGACGAGAATTTCCGTCGATACCGTGGAAAAAATCAAACGTGCCCGGTTTTTACCGAACGAAACGGATCCTTTCAAGCCGCGTTCGTAAAACATTTCGCACGAAATCGACGCGGAAAAAGTGACAGTTTTAACCTCTTGCGCTGGATTCTTTGTCCCAAAATTGCTACATTTTCTCAGCTTTAAATACATTTAAACACAATCCAGGCAAAGCAACTAGTAAATTTATTACTTTATTCGTACCGACGACGAATTTCAAAAGAAAGCGACGAATTATCGTACACGGTTCGGTCACTCGTTATGGTCCGCGAATCAGTTGCCAACGCAAGAGGTTAAGAACGTTTGAAAGAGTATCGTGATACTTCGATCGGAAAATGATGCCGAAACGATGTTGCAAGCAAAACATCTGACACTGGTGGAAAAGAACGAGAGACATGTAATGTTAATCGGTAGTTTTCACTCGATCGAGCAAACGAGTGCTCTGGGTCGTAGAGAGGGCACGAAGGAAACGATTTTTCTACTCTCGTCGCGACGCATTTCTACTCGTCGAACTCGACTATGGACCACGAGCCCGTGTGTCGCGACCATAAAAGGGCATATACATCGAACACGCAACAACGTTCAGGGAAAGAAGAACGAGTAAGTAAGTAAACAACACCTGGAACAAGATCAGAACAGGTTAAGAGACAAGTAGAAAACGTGGGAAGGAGAAAAAAAAAAAGAAAGGGACGAAGAAAAAAGAGAAAAGAGAAACGTATAAAAGTCGAAGGTACAATCATATACGATGTCCATACACATACATATTGCAAAACTGATGTAAAGAGGTTAGACCCGTAGGGTGTGTGACGCGTGTTGATTAAGTATATATATATATACGAGTGCGTTCGATGTGTGATTCGATTGAAACGTGACGTGGTGGCTGACTCGAGTCGTTAGGGATATTATACGGGTGTCCTCCTGCGTGGGACACTCGGTACAACGGTACGTACGTATGTATGTAGGTAAGGTAGTAATACTGTGAGAAATATCAGTGGCAGGCGACAAAGATATAAATTGCCGTTGGTGAAATCGTGAGAGGGGTTCGCTACGTAATGGTTCACAAGGTTCCTAGAAACAGTAGAAAAAAGTAGTCGACACACGTTCAACGCAGGTGTGTGTGTACGTGTACGATGCTGCAAGAAATCAAGTACCACACTGCAACTAGAGATGTGAGTTTGATCATTGCGCCGCGACTCAATAACATGACGCTTTGGCAGGTTCGATCTCGTTACGGTATTTATTCGGGGGTCTCTCGTTTCACGCCGTTTTGGTGGAACAGCGCCACGATTTAATGCACACACACGTGATATACTCGTAATATATCGTGGAAGGTATTCCGAGTTGGTCGCGAAACCGTCAAAAGCGCGTCGACGTCTCGCAAAAATTCACATCTCTGCGCATAATACAGAGGGGGCAGGCCAAGTCGAACTTGAACCAAGGCTAAACCAGGTGGAGATTCTAAAGTGACGTGACTACGAGGGATCTCGGTGCTTTGTTTTACTTTAGCTTTACTTTATTTTACGGGGGATCTAAAAGCTAGATCGGTCGGATGCGAGAGGCCGACGCAAAGCTA